CGGCCGTGATCGAGTCCATCCCGCAAGCACCGGGGGCTCGAAGGCGAAATCGCAGGCAGCCCAGAGGAAAGTCCATGATGCATCATCGGAGGAACCAGACCACGAGGACATGTGTAACCCTGCATCTCGGGATGCCCACACACCAGAACAAAAAACAAAAAACAAAAAAAATCAAGCAACAACACACACACAACGCGGTTCGCTTCACACGTCTTCTTCAAGAACCACCAGTGCCCAAAACAACAAAGCCGAAGAAGATCGGCACGGTAAATCAAAATCACCCCTCTAAAACAAACATGATGCATTCCGTCTGACATTCCGTCCGATAGTCGGTCTGACAATTATTTGTCAGATAAAACGGGGCGAGATGATGAGGAGCGAGCCGGAACTGGTCGCGGTCGCCGCCGCAGCCGCCGAGCGCAGCAACTACCTTGAGAACGACTACATGCAAGCTCGCGCAGAGCTGCTCCAGGCCTGGGAACATGGGCTAAGTGCAGATCAGAGTCAAACTGCCAGCGATCCTGATCAGCTCCCCACCAGCACTGAGCTGCTCAAGGCCCTGGTGGCGGCCCCCATGTCCGAGTCACTCTGTGACATGCTCCTCGCTGACATGCTGTCCCTCCTCGCCCAGCATGCCCCCGAGCATCTTCCCGAACACACAGCAGCCTATCAAGCACTTGATAATTGGCTGATGACGGTTGTTGAGGTTTGCCATCCTCGTGACTCCCTCCTCGCACTCGTTGCCCCCGTGCGTCATGCCGAAGCCCCGCCCTGGCTTCGCCTGCTCCTCTGGCAAGCCGTGGCCCGCCTCACCCCACGCTGTGAGCCCCGCCACTTGCCACGATCCCTGGAGCTCGTCAACTTGGCCCTCGTTGACTTGGCTTCCGAAGCCATCCCATCCCACCGCCCCCGTCTCCTCGCCGTCACCGCTGACCTCCTCAGCAACCTCGATCAAAAACTCGCTCCCCTGGAAGCAGGCCTCCTTGAAGAAGAGGACGCTGAACTCTACGATGCGGTTCGCCAGGCTGCCGCCGCCTTGCATGCCAACCTTGCCCTTCTGCCAGCTCTGCGCCTTGCCCAAGGCCACCATCACAACCACCATCCCGCCCAACCCATCGACCCGGCCCCAACGGCCACCGCAATCCCTCACAACGCCCATGAAACCCAGGCCGACCACCACCTCACACGCGCCCTTGACATGATCGACATATTGGCCGTGCTTGCCCAGCCTCTGGTTAACCTTGATGCTCAAACCTCGCAGATCTCAAACCGCCTAGCGGCCGCTTTTGATCAACATGACGCCGACTACGACTACGATGACCATGACGATGACGATGAGGCAGACGCCCCTACCCCAAAAGACCCCGTTGATGACACACAGCGCATTCAGAGCAGCATCGATCTACATCGCGCCTTTGAAACCCTCCAACGCGAATGGATGCTTCCTGGTCAGCCCTCGGCATCATCCAGCTGGCACCTTCGCCACCTTCACCCCTTGACCCAAGGCTTGCTCCTCGCGCGTCACATGGCCACCCGCGATCATCTCCCCACGCTTCTCTATCGGTTTGTCCAATCCCACTCCCATCATCCCGCCCAGGGCGCGCCCCCATCTCCTCTATGCCCTCCCGTCTCGTCTGCCCCACCCATTCGCGCCTTGCCAACTTATTGCCATCCACCCCCGCCCCCTGCCTGTTTTTATTATTAAAAAAAAAAAAAAAAAAAAAAAAAAACAGACGACACACTACGGTTGCCCTCCTCGGCTCCCACGCCATCTGCCTCTTGCAAGCCCCGTCAGCTTGGGTTCGATTATCATTTCCACCCTGATTTTATCTTGGTCGTCTGCTGCCCCAAGGCGCCGCACCGCCCCCCACCTCCTTCTGCATCGTGCGCACGCTGCTTGGTCTTATCCCCACCCCCCACCCCGACTTGTTAGGCTCGCCGCGCTGGGGTTGACTTGGTGACGCTGCAATTGTCCTGGCTCTCCCCAGATGAAGCTGAGCTGCAACACTTGGCCACTAAAGCTGCAGATGCCGAAACGCCCAGGTGATGATATTCATGGGCGCTCGTTCCATCACCTACATGGCAGCGCAGCCACTCCCGCCCACTTTGCTAAAGCCCAACCCTCCTTCACACAGAGATGGCGCCACCCTGGCTCAAGGCCTGCTTGAACACGCATCGCAGTGTGCCAATGCCAACGAGCGACAGCAAGTACGTCAAGCCCCCCGGCACATAAACGCCACGAACAAAGACCTAGTTCTTGATCTTACAAACCAAACCATGTCTTCCCTGCCCCTGCCCTTGCCCCTGCCCTTGCCCCTGCCCTTGCCCCTGCCTAGGTTATTGCACTTCTTCACCGCCTCTTCAGTTGCTTGGCCGTCTCGGAGCGCTACGCCCTTTTCCAAATCATGCTACGCGACACACCCCACGATCAGGCGGTTCATCTTTTGGTTCTCTGGCTCAAGGTACTCGCATGCTCCTTCATCCATCCACCCCACCTACCTCTGCCACCACTCTGCTGTTGTCCAGACGACACCGTGCAAAACACATACCATGGTTTACCTCACTGTGGCTTGCTCGCGCCGGACTGCGTAGGAGGAGATTGTCAAAGCTACGCGTCAGCTTGAGGGCCCCGCTCTGTCCTTCTTCACCGGGCCAGCATTATACACGTTTGTAGCGTCGAGACGCGTTCAAGGGAAAAAGCCAACATGGCTTTTCACGTATAAGCTCTCTCACGGCCTGTCAACTCGCCATTGCCTGCATCAGACTGCTGAGCACCCTCGTGCAACGCTTGGAGCTAGACAACCCCCGGTGGCTGATTCAGCACACAACACGCGTGCGTCGAAACACCTATCCCTTCCCTCGAGCCGCGATCACTTTATCAAAGGTTGCAGCCTCTCATCGGTTTTCATGCCTGCTTTGGGTAGGTCGAGGCCATTTTGAACTTGATTCTCTTCTGCGTCCTTAAAGGCCCTCCTTCTCCAGAGCGCACCGTCTCTGACGACGAACTCAAGGTACATCTGATTCTTATGAGTTTCACTTTGTGCTTTTGTGTTTCTGTGTTGTGTTTTTTGATTGACTTTTCGTGTGCGCATGTTCTGGTTGTGCCACTGCGACCTTGGGAAGAAAGCTGACCCCTAATCTTGCAACTTGCGGCTCCAATGTGAATAGTTTTGGAAAACAGGTCTGCTGCAAAACATTTGCCAAGAGGTCGTGAGCCCACTTCAGGCTCTTGCCGAGACCGCGCACACCCAACTTGACGAGCTGCTGGCGGCACCCACAAGAAATAGTAGCGGCATTGAATTGGTGCGTGTGTTCGTGCAGATCTAAAAACAACCAACCCCGCGTCCATCGCGCCCTCAGCTCTGAAGGATCCTGGGATTTCACATGCGTCCTTTACTTCCGACAGTCTGTCAATGGCATGGGTTCGCCGACGCTCGCTGATTCGTCGCGTGGAGCAATGGCCTTTGCCCTGGAGCGCTGTGCGTTCTCTGCTGATGATATCATGTCGCGATTGGCCACTATGCAAGAATACCTTGAGTAAGAGCCCCAGTTGACTTCAGCTCTGGTCCTGATGCAGGGTTGTACCCCAGTGACGTGACAGTTGAGATGAAGTCGGTGACTTTGTTCCAGGTCGATGGTGCGCATATTCCCACGTCAATTCACAAGCTTGGTAGACATACCATGTCAAAGAAACTCCAAAGAATAAAAGGGTGGGGGGAGGAGCGACACTACGCAGTAGCTCAACCCACTCCACTGCGAGCAGGCAACGGGACAGCAACACAATGGTGACCCAGACTCTCCCACCCCACTGCCATGCCGACCCATTAAGTAAATGTGGTTTTGCAACTCTTTTGCTAGATGGCCTCGCCAGCACTGACGTCATCACTGTCCGTGGCACTGGCGTCATCGCCCTCATCATCACTCTCGCTGCCGTCTGATCCCGAATCTGAACCCGAGTTGGACTCGGACTCGCCAGACTCAGACTCGGCGGCCGGAAGCTCAAATTGTGAAACATCGGGCAAATCGCGAAACTGAGGTGGGCTGAGGGGCACGCTCGCCAAAAACTCGGCAAGAGTGGCCACAGCTCGCTCTGGGCAGTGCTGGAGCAGCCAAAGAATGGCATCGACAAGGAATAGGTCAACAAAGGGATAGAAGACTTCGTCTTTGTCAAAAAGCGCCTTCATGTCAAGAAGGACCATGACGAGTGCGCGTTTACCGGCCGCAAAAAGCGTTTGTACATCTCGGAAGGTGGCCACCACCAAGACCCAGTGTCGGCGCAGTGGGTAGCAAAGCGCGCGACGACCAAAGGCCTGGAGCACGTCCTTGGCGTGTGTGAAGAGCTGCAGATGCGAGAGGGTGGACGAGAGCTGAGCCATGGTCCGGACGGATTCGGGAGTCAAGTCACCGCCCCAAATGCGATATTCATAGCAGTAAGTGAGCAGGAGGTCAAGAATGTTGACCAAAAGTGTCGGGGCCGTGTTGGTTGGCAGGAGCTCGCGTTTGGGCAATCCTTCCAAGCGCACACGATATGCCTTGGGCAGCGGCGCGGGCGTGCCTTTCTTCAAATGCACGGCACGACAAGCGCTGGAGTAGCAGCGAGGCCCAGCGCATGCCACGGCATAGCAGGTATGCGACCGTGCGTCGGTGTGCCGGCGTGCACACTGCGCCACATACTCGGCGTGTGGTCCGGGTGCACGCAGCAGCGGGACAATCAGCTGATAAAAGTCCTCGCATTCGGCCCTATTGATTGACCAGCGCGCCGGTTGAGGGTAGATATGATGGCGTCATGGTACGGGGATCCAGCCGTAGCTGCGTGCGCCAAACAGACTGCGGGGCACACGCAGCGCGCCACGCCACGCCAGCAAGTCAGCTTACCAGTAGTAATCTTCATCAAAATCGGCCTCTTCGGCATCCACCCGCAGCTGGGCGCGTTGATCGTTGTCTACATTCTCGGGGTCGGCCAGGCGTGTCAACTCCTGCGGCATGGGGTGTATACCGTGGTACGTGGCGCGTGAGGCTAATTGATGGGCCGGCGGGGCTTGTGTTGTGCGCAGCGTCAAAGCCATGTATGGCACGCGAGGTCAACGCTTCTGGCGACAGGGCGTACAGGAAAGCCGTTGGCTTGAAGGCGACCGACGACATCAGTGTGTTTGGCGTCAAACCCGTAGCCATCACGGTGGCCCACGTGAATATTTCCCTGAGCAAGGCAAGGTCGTGGGACACAAGAAAAGGAAGCGTGCCAGGTGAGGCGAGACATGAACAAAATGAAGATGTCGGTGAGACCAATATTGATCGGAAAAAGGTGGGTCGGTGGCACTTTGAACCGCACCAGAGTTGAAGCCAGTTCTTGCTCCACTTCCCAGTCGAACCCATCGTCCTCGCCCCCCTCTTCCGGAGCAGCACCGGGCTCGGCACCGGCGGCTTCGAGATCGGCAGCGGCAGGGGTGCTCGAGAGCACCTCAATGCTGGGGCGGGTGGCGGTGGCGGCGGCTTGGGCTGAGGCTTGGGTGGAACGCAAGAGTAGGTTGTGCAAGTCGAGGCCTTCAAAGTGCTCGCCAGGTGTCTCCTTGGGAAGCTTAAAGGTAAAGTGACCTGAGCAAGCGCGCAAGCCGCGCAAGTCACGCATACGCCACGCAAGCGATGAGGGCAACACGGCATGTGTGTGAGTGTGTTTGGGTGGGTGGGGTGACCTGTCAGGCGAGGGCCAGCAAAGAGCGCATGAGTACCCGTGTTAATGTCGTAGGCCACTTGCTCGAGGCCCGAGTTGGCGAGGGATTGTTGGAAGCAGAGCCGGAGAAAGTAGGGTTTGATGTGAAACCGAAACACGTTTCCATCGATCAACCAATCCACATCATTGGCCTGGAAACGGGAGCGGAGAGAGAGAGAGAGAGAGAGAGAGAGAGAGAAAGAGGGGAGAGAGCAAAGTGAGAGGAGAGCAGTTTGAGATGCCATGGAAAAAGAAGGGCGCAGGGCAAAGGGGCGGGTGTCGTCTGCCTCAATCGAAGGCTCGGAGCACAGAGTCGACCCGAGCACATGTGCCCGCTTGACCCGTTCTTCATTTTCGTTGATGTTTTTTTTTTGCCTCTCTTTAGAGTGCCAGCTCCATTCACCCGCCCCCGCCATTCACCCGCCCCCGCCATTCACCCACTCCCGCCCGCCAGGCCCACGCATACCTTGACATAGGGCGCACGGATGGTCAGCAGCACGTGGCCATCATCCTGCTGCAGCTCAAACTCGGGCGTCAACATCGCACCGGCCGTGTGTGTGTGTGTGTGTGTGTGTGTGTGTGTGTGGAAAGGGGGAAATGTCTGACATTCTGTGATGTGTCTGACAATCGTATAATATCTGACATCCCGAGTTGGTGGGGAACAGCTGTTGGGCGGGAATTTGGCTCGAGCACGGTCGGCTATTGTTTTACTGGTAAACCGACCTGTAAACGTATACAGGAAAATGCACCTTCAAAGGAGAACAAAAGAATCTTTCTTCCTGCTGCTCTTCCCTTGCGAGGGCGACAACACAAAAGAAAAAAAGACACAAAAGAACCCCTCGAAGTGAGCTGGAATGACATTTAGTAGCGACCTACTCGGTAAGCAAAGCTGGACACACACACACACACACACACACACACACACAGAGACTGCACTGCATCACCACTTGGTAGCAGCGCGCAGCAGGTGATTCGGCGGCGGCGGCGGCGGCGCACAGTGGCAGCAGTGTGATCCAGAGCAGAAAGACACACACACACACATGCATGCATATGGATGATGCGATGAGGGGGCAGGTGGTGCTGATGCCTAGCAGGGGAAGGCGGGAGCCCTTTTGCAGATTGCATGTTGGTGTGGTCTGCTGTGCTCAGTCACACTGGCACTGCTCGCGCGCTAAGGGGTGGCTCTCACGCTTTCTTAGCAGGCCGGGCAGGGAGTTGGTCTTGACTTGATTCACAGACACTGCACTGCACGTCAACATCCTTGCTTTTGATCCTCATCTCTCTTGCTTTTCGTTCCTTCGTTTCTTTTTTTTTCTTTTTTATATTTTTGTTCAGAGGCGACCTCAGCCGAAACTTTGTGCATTCCCCGATCACGTTCAGAGCGTCGAGGGAGTCGCCAGCGAGCACCACCGCGCCAGCAAGATGGCCAGCGAAAACTGCAAGGATGCCCAGGGCAACACGGTGATTGTGTGCGATAACGGCACTGGCTTTGTCAAGTGCGGCTACGCCGGTGCCAACTTCCCCGCCCATATCTTCCCATCCCTGGTCGGTCGCCCCGTCCTCCGTTCACAAGCCCAGGTCAACAACGTCACCCTCAAGGTCTGTTTGCCGGAATTCCCTATTTCCGCTTGCTCCCGCGCACACACCCTTGTGCGGCGTGCGACCCATGTCCAGGATCAACAACCAAGCAAGTGCAAGCGCAGGTACTGACCCTGTCGTCCAACCTTTGTTCGTGCAGGACATTATGGTCGGCGAGGAGGCGTCACAGCTTCGCTCCAATCTTGAGGTGAACTACCCCATGGACAACGGTATCGTGCGCAACTGGGAGGACATGCGTCATGTTTGGAACTACACCTTTCATGAAAAGATGCAGATTGATCCCAAGGGGTGCAAGGTAATACACGCTTCGGCTTGCCTCGTCAACCCTGTCCTGGCCAGTGCACCCCACTGGCAACGACCGGCGCATGTTCCGGGCGTCGCTATGGAGCTCACACCTGCACCATCTGCTCTCTCTCCTCGCACATTCATCGCCCGTCACGCATCGCAATGGCATCTAGGTCGTCCTGACAGAGCCGCCAATGAACCCGGCGCGCAACCGCGAGCGCATGATCACTGAAATGTTCGAGACCTTTGAGTTTGAGGGCGTGTACATTGCCGTCCAGGCCGTCCTGACCCTCTACGCCCAAGGTACACTTGAGACATTTCCGTGTCGTGGCTCTTAGCCCACCGTTGCTTTGACCCAGGCAGATCACTGCCAGCTTCCTCGCCTCGCTCGCCCCGTATTTTTGTGTGCCGTGCTTCCTATCCAGAAGGCTCTTTGACCTTATCATTCGCTCCCGCTCACATGTCTCCGCTGCCGCTGTGCAATGTTGTTTTATTCGTCTCTGACTAGGTTTGATGACTGGTGTCGTCATTGATTCCGGTGATGGTGTGACCCACATTATTCCCGTTTACGAGGGCTTTGCTCTTCCCCATCTGACCCGCCGTCTCAACGTGGCGGGCCGCGATATTACCCGCTACCTCATCAAGGTTGGTCGACGGTTTGTTGTTCCTCTTTTCATCTCTAAAAATTAGCGTCAGCGTGCTTTTAGCTTGCTCGTCAGACAAGCCGAGCTGTGAATGCACCTACATGCTCGGCACCTCACCTCGTTGGCTTCTCGCTTCCTCCCCTGCCAGTTGCTGCTGTTGCGCGGCTACGCCTTCAACCAATCGGCCGATTTCGAGACAATTCGCATGATGAAGGAGAAGCTTTGCTATGTAGCGTACGATGTTGACATGGAGCAGAAGCTGGCCAACGAGACAACTGTTCTGGTGGAATCCTACACGTTGCCCGATGGTCGTGTCATCAAGGTCGGCGGCGAGCGCTTTGAAGCACCCGAAGCCCTCTTCCAGCCCCATCTCATTGGCCTCGAGGACGCTGGCGTCGCCGAGATGCTCTTTGACTGCATTCAGGTAAGCCTGCGTCTTCCAAACATCTGCGCTCAGCCCTCACGTCGTTGGGATGGATGCTTGATCCTAGTGTCGGCTTTTTGTCATGATTTATTCATTTCCCCCCCCCCCCTCATGCTCCGCTTCCACCTGGTCTGTGTCCCGCTTGGTTGGCTGTGTCGCGTAGTCGGCTGACATTGACACGCGGCCGGAGTTCTACAAGCACATTGTGCTGTCGGGTGGTAGCACCATGTACCCCGGCTTGCCCAGCCGTCTGGAGCGCGAGCTTAAGCAGCTTTACCTCGAGCGTGTGCTCAAGGGCAACACGGCGGCGCTGTCCAAGTTCAAGATTCGCATCGAAGATCCCCCACGCCGCAAACACATGGTCTTTTTGGGCGGTGCTGTTCTGGCACAGCTCATCAAGGACAAGCCTGAGATGTGGATCACAAAGCAGGAGTACCAAGAGCAGGGTGTCAAGTGCCTGGCCAAGTTGGGCGTCAGCTCGTAATTTTTTTTTTTCCACCTCGTGGACTCGCTTGTTTCTCGTCCCGACCCTCTACGATGGCGATGCCTTGACCGATGGTCAGGTCGTCCTGAGGGCAGGGCATGCGGATGAATGTTGGAGGGCATGGACGCGGTTGCGTTGAGCTCTTGATTCAATGACAATGGGAACGAGAATGGAGCTGTTCTTTTTTTCTTAAGCCTCTCTGTGTGTGGGCGTAGCTCCTTTGTTTTTTCTCCTTCTCATTCGTTTGATCGTGTCTTGTCTTGTGTGAATGTTCTCTTGTCTGGGCTTCCCTTGGCCCGTCTTGTTCAGGCTGAGGTGTGCAACGTGCTGCTTCGTTTTTCCCTTTTCTCTTTTTTTTACAAGAATTGACCCTGTCTCTAGTTTGGACATGATCTTTCGAAACAGGGTGGGCTTGGCCGAAAGATCTGGCGACCTTTCTGTCGATAACGGCGCGGGCTAGGACGATTGACTTGACCATTGATCAACGTGAAGAGACCAAGACATTTGAATCTCGTTCCATCGATCGATTCGCTCATAGAGTGAAAAGACCAACGGTTTGATCAGTGCTCCCTGACCACTATGCCTCCTCGAGGGCATGAGTGCACTGCAGTGAGCCTTGAATGACACGGTGTGAGCAAGACACCACGAGCCAGCAAATGAGAAGCGAGAAGACGAGGGATATAGAAAACAAAAAAACAAGGTGTGTGTGGGGCAAAACAAATGAGGCCACTCGGTGGCAGGCGTAGAAGATTGTTGCAGGCGAGTGGCTCGCCCGGCTGCATCACCGCAGCCCGGTTAGCCGGCCAGAAGGAGGTAGACGATCATGACAGCGTTGACGGCAATAAGCGGCACTACGCGACGAAAGAGAGAACATCAAACGTGTGGGCGGGCGGTGAGTGGGATGGTGGAAGGCGAGAAGATTGAAACCGGGCCACAATGTCCTGCTATACATGGTGCGTACCACGCATGAGGGTCCGGACGGCATTGATCATGGTGACGATCTTGCCCTTGACCGAGTGGTCGTCGGCGGTTGTAAGTCCCACTGTCCCGGTTTGAGCGCGAGAGCGGCAGGGCGAGCATGAGCTGCCGGATCTGGGTCGGCGTGAGGAGGGGGGTGGGCTGGTGGGCTTGAGCAACGTACTGGTGGTGAGAAATCGGGGGACAGGGGGGCCGCCGGGCTTGAGGTTGGGGCTGTAGTCTTGCAGGACGGCCACGGCGTTGATAAAGAGGAGCGCCGCCTCGAGAAGGTGGCCCAAGGAAAAGGTCATGGCGATATGATGGAGTGAAAACCCGAAGCGAAGCGCTTGTGATTGAGCTGCGGGCCGGTGCACACCATTCCCCCAGTGAGTTGGAAAGTGAGGTTGTGGCATTGATGCTTGACGATGAAAATGAAAAAAAAAAAAAGAGCCACCCGTCCTCAAACAACACTTGCTGGCGGCGGTGCCGACGGGACGGGCGCGCCCCGGCGGGGAGGCGATGAACACCCTTCATACGACGGCACTGACTGTGAATGTCGAGAGCGGAAATGCAAGAGGGAGGATCGCGACGGTCAATATGGGGATGATGAAGAAAAGCTGCCGTTTGCAAGGGCTATTAAGGTAAACGGTCAAGGAGAAATTGACGAGGCATTTGGGGTTTGATACACCTACTGAGGGCACCAAAAACCGTCTGACAATTCATGAGTTGACTGCTTGTAAGGTGTTGTTTCTGAATGCGTTGAACCACATAAAATCTGTCCCAAACTATAAGAGAAAAATACGCTGCCAAAGTCAGCGAAAAAGAAAAGAGAGAGAGAGAGAGAAGGAACCACGGGCAGCGGCCGGCGAGGGAGGGAGGAGGCAGGAGAGGGAGAGGGTGGCAGGGATGAATGTGGCGTAGGGATGAAGCTGGGGCAAACCGACCGCAGACAAGACAAGAGGAGATGAGAAGCCGTCCTCCCTGCCTCTTGGAATCAGTCGTTGAAGCAGCTTACTGACCAACAAGATGATGAAGATGACACAATAATGTCATTGTTTTGTGTGTCCCGCTCACTCTCCTTTGTCAGTCTGTCTGCCCTCTGTCTCTCTCTCTGTCTCTCTCTCTCTCTCTCTGTCTCTCTGTCTCTGTCTCTCTCTCTGTCTCTCTCTCTCTCTCTCTGTCTCTCTCTGTCTCTCTCTCTCTTCTCTGTCTGTCTGTGTCTGTCTGTCTGTCTGTCTCTCTCTCTCTCTCTCTCTCTCTCTCTCTCTCTCTCTCTCTCTCTCTCTTGATTTCCAAAGGAGCAAGTTGAACGTGAAATCAAAACCAAAGAGACAAGAAAACAAAAAAAAAAAGAAAAAAAAACGAGTTCAGGTGAGCGCGCGCACACACACACACGGACGGGAGAACTTGTTGGCGCGGCTGGTCTGGTTGGTTCCGTGACACGGCGGTGCAGGCGTGTCTTGGGTTCCCCACCCACTGACGTCTTGATGCAGGAGACAAACGGTTGTTGCAACAGTGTGCCCACTGGCCGTGTCCCGAACGTATTACTTTTGTGACGCACTCACCTCGACCACTTCCTCCCACTTTTTTTTTTTTCTTCTCTCTCTCTCTCTCTCTCTCTCTGTCTCTCTCTCTCTTCCGCGCCCTCTCGCGCGTCCTCGTCTTGGTTTGACCCTGGGGTAGCTGTCATCGTGCTCCGCTCCGACGATCGCGGTCTTCAACGAGTGCCTTTGACCCAGGTAATGGCTTGACCCATCTTGCCACATCTTCCCCCAACACCCAAACCTTGGCCAACTGCCACCAAACACAGGGGTCCAGCCCCGCCAGCCAGCGCCCTCGAGCATGCCCTTGAGTTGCTCTTTGGCCGTCAAAGCAACTCGGGAGCGAGGGGGAGCAAGGTCTCTGGCTGACTGGGATCTGTCGTTGACCCCACACCCGGCACACACAAGAAAATCGGCAACCCCCCGTCCCACACACCTCTCCTCTTTCTTCTTCCTCCCCCGGTTACGAGAAGAAAGAAAGCAATTCACAACCACACCCCTACCCCCGCCCACCGTCGATACTCGTCCGGCCCCTGTCTCTGCCCGACTTGTTTGCCCCTTGTGCAAGCACCACCTTGTTCTGGTCTTGGTTTGTTTGGCTCATCCCATTTCCGCTTATCGTGCTGCTCGCTTTCTTCCCTTCACCAAATAGGTGGCCGAGGCCGCTCTTGTTGTTGCGCCTTTTGCGCTAGTCTCGGACCACAACGAGAAAACCTCGTCCCGCTACAACACCAGACCGATGGCTGCTCAGCCCGGTACCAATGTGGTCGCCCTCTTCGACTTTGCGGGTGAATCATCAGAGGTCAGCTTGCCGCATCCGCCCAGCAGTTTCTCCACACATGTTGTTGATGCTGGGAACAAACAACAGCAGCCATTTGATCGACCCGCCCCGAGAGGGCATCATGCTTTTCTTCCGACACATGCCCCGTGGCCTTGGTCACTGACAGCGACACTTTTTTTGTACTTTGTATAGGACCTGCCATTCAAGCGCAATGAACCCTTGACCATTGTCAAGGTGGCCAGTGACTCAAACTGGTGGCTGGCCCGAAACAGCAAAGGCAAAACGGGCATGATCCCCGCCAACTACGTTGTAGGTCCCCCTGTTGCATCTTGTTTTTTCTCTTGCACTTTTGTTTTCATCCTCTCTTTCCCTCGCCCCCCTTCTTTCCTTACACGCTCTCTCCCTCTCACCGCCCTGTCGATAACCCCAATGACTTTGATCCTTGTAAACGCTCTCATTTTTTTTTTGTTTGTTTGTTTGTTTGGCTATCATGCACCTTGCAGCGCCCTGTCGGTGCATCTGATGCCAACCAGCCCGCCGACGATGCGCAAGGCGTAAGATCTCGCGGGGTGCTGCCCCGCCCTTGGATTGCCATGATCCAGCGGCTTTCCACAACATTGACAACGACTCATGATTACCCATGTCTTATTATTGTTATCGTCATTATTATGATTATTGTTATAATCATTATTAGCCCATGCCTTGGTTTCACGGCAAGATCAACCGAACAGTCGCCGAAGAGCTGATTGCGGGCAAACCCGTAGGCACATTCCTTGTTCGCGAAAGCACAAATTTTCCGGGTGATTACACCCTAACGGTCGTGTGCGTCTCTCGCATTTCAACCTGCTCAGCCACGCGGACCTCCGCTTCACCCGCGTGCATCCTGCCTGGCATGTCTCATCATTTTCCCCGCTGCCATCCATCTGGACCCAACTTGCCATGTCAACATGTGCAGTGGCACTGAAGCCGTGGATCACTATCATATTCAGAGCAAAGGTGGAAAAATCACCATCGATGATGAGGTCTCCTTCGGCTCACTCGATGAACTAATCTCGGTAGGCTCGCACTCAGAGCAAGCCCCGCGCCCTACCTGTTGAAAAGTGCACTTCCATCCCATCATGTCCCATCATCACGCCGCGCTCTCGCCATTCATGCTCACCACCGTGCTTTCGATTCGTGCTCAATGCGCCTTGTCAACGGGACTCTTTGCCTTGTAGCACTACACACAGGATGCTGATGGCCTGTCAACCCAGTTGATTCGGCCCTTGGTCCGGGCTGCTGATGGCACCCGCGTTGATGAGGCATCGATTGCACAACACGTGATCGAGCCCAAGGACCTGATCAAGGGCGCCAAGCTAGGCTCGGGCCAGTTTGGTGATGTCTTTGAGGGCACGTACTGTGGCCAACGTGTTGCTATCAAAACGCTCAAGAATTACGAGCAGAGCCTCCGCGATGAGTTTCTGGCCGAAGCAAGCGTCATGACCAAGCTCAAGCACCCCAACCTGGTCAAACTCGAGGGTGTGGTGACCGAAGGCAAGGAAATCATGCTTGTGACTGAATACATGGCCAAGGTTTGTATACTGCCCTGCCGTGCACCGCCTCTTGTGCAAACTTGTGCGCGTGCCCGGTCGCTCTCACGCACGAGCACGAATGGCCCTTGATTGTAATTGTTGACAGGGCAACCTGCTCGACTTTTTGCGCTCAAGGGGACGATCAGTGGTGAAGAAGGACCTTCTCTTCAAGTTTACCCAAGACATATGCGAGGGCATGGCCTTTTTGGAAAAGCAAAACGTCGTGCATCGGTATGCTCGCACTCGCCAAGCTGAAGCATCGATGCGAGTTGTTTGTGGCAAACCATGGTCTCCTTCGCGTCGACTCACACTTGCCCGGCAACCCCCCTTGCGCCCGATCCCATACGCATAGTGATTTGGCTGCACGCAACGTCCTGATTTCGGAAGAGGATGTGGCCAAGGTGGCCGATTTTGGCCTGGCCAAGCGATCTGACTGGGGTGACATTGACTCGGGCAAGCTACCCATCAAGTGGACCGCGCCAGAGGTGCTCAAGCACAAGGTCTCCACCTCCAAGAGTGATGGTACGCACTTGGCTGCACTCTGACAGCGACCCCATCCCATCTGGATGCTGCATCTACTGGTTTGGCTCATGATGCTTTTTGCCTGCTGCCGGGGCCTCTGTTTTCCGACAGTCTGGAGTTTTGGCATCACCATGTGGGAGATCTATTCCTATGGACGCTCACCTTATCCGCGCATGAGCCAGAAGGACGTTGTTGATGCCTTGCCCAAGGGCTATCGCATGGAGCGTCCTGACGATTGCCCAGAAACGCTCTACACCGCCGTGATGCGCGCGTGCTGGGAGATGGACCCCTTGTCCCGCCCCACCTTCAACCGCCTCAAGCGCACCTTGGCCAAATTCAAGGGCAGCTGATGAGCGACCCGACTCCATCCCTGCCAGAATAGGTGACCATGTACTTGTGAACGCGAACGTGTGCATACATGCGTCGTTGTCGTCGTTCTTGCAGCTTCTCCCCCTACTTTCTTTTATAAATTGGCCTTTTTTCGCCATCATCCCTTCCATTTGCTTCTCCCCGTCTTCCCTTCTTCCATCATTCTTCATCCGGCTGCCGTGGCTTCCTTTCTTCTTCTTCTTCTTCTTCTTCTTCTTCTTCTTCTTCTTCTTCTTCTTCTTTTTCTTCTTGTTCCTCCTATTGCTTTTGCCTTTTGTTCATTGCTCGTTGTCTTCAACCTGTTTTGTCGTTTACTTCCCTACTTCCTTTCTCTCGTGGCAAGGAGTTGTACATTTAAAGCGCTGTTTTGTATGCTGGGTCAGAGTCTTCCTCGCCGGCCAGCTTTTGGTGTCGGCCAGGGTGGTGAACATTACAGCTTATCCGCTGGCCGTGCCATTACCTGTTGACCTGAGCGGTGTCTTTCAACTCCGCCATCCCCCCTTTTCCTTGTCTTTTAAATTCTTTTGTTGAGCCTGACCTGTTGATGCACGTGGGCGAGCCATCAAGTTCATTCCAAGACAATCAGCATCACCCTCCCAGAAACAGCCTTTTTGCCATGTACCCCAATTGCAATGCCAAAGCCTTGACCTCTGTCATCGTGCCGTGCTGTCGAACAAAACGAACGAACAAACAGTTCGAAAGAGAAGGAGGGAGACACCAAGGAACAAAGCCGAAAATCTGACATTGTCCTGATCTGTCTGACATTACACGAGTCGATGAACCTGAGGGAGAAAAAAACCAAGGAGATTGGAATTCGAGATTTGAACCTTCGTTGACTGGGAGCGGTACTTTTCCTTCGTTTCGGCGCCTAAACCGTTCACCATGGGTCACAACCAGGTGCGTCGCTGCGGACGCTCGAGATGAGCCAAGAAGTGGCAGTCGCGTCACCTGTCATCGGGAAAGGGCGTTTGACATGAAGGAGCAAGGGTTCTCTTGTCATGCGCTGCAATTGTATCTCAGGTGGCGCGGCTGCCGACAGAATTAGCGCTCCACGTGTCTTGTGTCTTTTTCGCGAGGCACCCTCTGGTGGCTCGACTCGCGGCTCAAGTGCACAAACCCTGCTGGGCTGATGTTGGTCGCTATGCTTGCGGGGCTTGCCTGATCCGCTATGTAGGTTTGGAACTCGCACCCCAAGAAGTACGGTCCTGGCTCCCGCCAGTGGTGAGTACTTTGCTCTCGTTGTTCTCTGCGCCACGCACAGCAGCGCTCGACCGAGACAGAATGAGTGCCTTCAGAAAAGAAACGGCTGATTTCGAGGCAGAACAGCTCTAGTTGGCTCAAGGCCCAGTGTTGGGACTGAGGCTGCATGTGTACCTTGGCATTCTTGGGGGTCTGATGGACACATCTAGCATTTGAGTGTCATGCCGAGCCTTGGCGAGCTTGGGTGGTTGTGCGATGCCCGGCAGTTTTGGACATGTGCATGCCTTGGTCCTTGTCGTGGACATCAGAGAGCAGGAGGCACAGCGGTGCTCCTGTTTTGGGCTCTGTTTTTTGTTGACTGATTTGTTGAGAGAGGGCGTTGAACCATCTTGGACTCAAGTCATTCGCTTGGAACTCGTTGCCTCACTTTTCTTGGTGTCTGTCGTCTGAAATGTCTATAGCCGCGTCTGCGGCAACCGTCACGGTCTGATCCGCAAGTATGGCATGAACATCTGCCGTCAGTGCTTCCAGCTGTACGCCAAGGACATTGGTTTCGTCAAGGTTCGTTTTGATGTCGTTTCTGTTGGATGTAGCTGGCTATTTGGTTTTATTCGTCGGTTTGGGGTGGGAATCACTCACGATTGTTGTCATGATCATTTGCTTGCAGCTTGACTAAACACTTCTTAGCTGCAAGAGTCACGAGACTGCGCATTCCTCGGCGACATGTTATTTGTGCCTTTGAATGTGGCGGGCACTATGCTTGGTGCGAAACTGCCTTTGACGCACGGGCCCGAAGACCTTTCTATCTCGCTTGTTGCTTGAAGGAGCAAAGTTGTTCTTTGCCTGCAAAAGGATACACTGGCTTCTGCATGCACAAGTGAATAAATGAACGGCCAACTTTGTTTCCTTTCCTCCTGCACCATCGGGCTCACCTGGCTCCTCCTCCAGGGATATGCTGGTGTGCGCCAGAGAGCATTATTGGGGAGGGTGGCAAAGGACTGTCCATACAAGTAAAGAGAGGAGGCTGTCTAGCAAGTAAAAGGCAGCCGAGTTGGCATTGGCTCCATGGGACGCAACCGACACCAATCATAACAAGCGTATTCACTTGATGAGTGATCCATGGCCAACCACAAGGCCGTTAAAAGGGGTGGACATTCTTTTTGGAGCGAGTGGGCGAGAAAGATCAGATCCTCCAGCTTTTTGACTCTCTCTCGAACCGAATCTCTGCTCTCTCTCTCTCTCTCTCTCTCTCTCTCTCTCTCTCTCTCTCTCTCTCTCTCTCTCTCTCTCTCTCTCTCTCTCTCTCTCTCTCTCTCTCTCTCTCTCTCTCTTTCCTCTCTTCTCTCTTCTCTCTTCTCTCTTCTCTCTTCTCTCTTCTCTCTTCTCTCTTCTCTCTTCTCTCTTCTCTCTTCTCTCTTCTCTCTTCTCTCTTCTCTCTTCTCTCTTCTCTCTTCTCTCTTCTCTCTTCTCTCTTCTCTCTTCTTCTTCTCTTTCCTCTCTTCTCTCTTCTCTCTTCTCTCTTCTCTCTCC